AAATTCCATTGCATTTCTGGCTCTTGTACTAAACTCAAATTTAGATTGCCAAAGTTCTGCGAGCACCTCTATACCGTCTTGCTCAAATTGTTGCTGTCACCGAGTCGCTTGGTGCACTCATATGCATTGTATACGTTTTAGTTGCCTACAGAAAAATGTTCAGCTTTCACTCTAATATTGCTGTGAGTTTCCTCTTACTGGCACAAGCTTTGACTTATGTACAATTTATTTCAGCTGCTCTTGTACACTTTGCACATCTTGTGCTTGGTTCATGCGGTGAATTACATCATATCAAAGGTGAAGTTCGCGCTTTCGTTGAGTAGCGTTAAGTATGCTGCCAAGAAAGCTTTGAAACGCTGTTGCCCCCCACTCCGCAAACCATCGAAAACTGCAACAATATTAGCGGTAGCCCTTTTTGACATGGCTCTTCATTTCAACTTTTTTTCAGATATGTCAGCTTTATATTTCTTTTTTCACTTCCAATCCGTGCCACATGTTCCTACCAAGAACATTCTACCTTTTCACGCACAATTTGATTGCATTTTGTACTAATGGATTGTTCAACACTCTGGTAGCTATGGTCATTGAACGATGTGTAGCTACAGCCCTTGTCGACATTTACGAGAAACGATTTCGAACACTCGGTATCTTGCTCACAATCACAGCGGTGAGTGTGTCAAGTGTGTCAACGCTTTCTGCTCACTGCTAATCTTTGCTTTGCAGTTGATTGTCTCGTTATTAGAGACTGCTAACGGATACAAATACTTAGCTGGTGATTACCTTATGACAAACAGTCTCATACACCCAGGCGCGAAGAGCATAGTTGTTAGCATTGGCTTTGCTGTACTGTGGCTAATCAGCTGTATACTACTACTGATCACTATCTCGTTGTACTGCTTCAACACACGTCGGAGGAAAAGGTTTAGTATGCTCTCATATCTCATTCATCAAACAGTCCCTTTGTAAAGCTTCCAAGATATCAATATGAACAACCCTGTCTGTGTTACGTAGTCTACATTAGCTGGCACATCTGGCTCCTCCTGGCCCCGTCAAAATGAAGTTAGTCATTA